AGTGCTGGGATTACAGGCATCAGCCAAAACTATTTGAATACACAATAGAATTAACTATTTAAAGTTGTGCTATTAGCAGTGAGTTTTAATAAAGACCAAAAAGAACAACTCGAAGTGTGGGCTGGGATTTTCAGGGAAGGAACCATAAGGGGACAGGATGTAAACTGATTTGAAATATAAGCAGTATTTGGAATGGTGCAAAGTCATGGCAGAAGGATGTGAGGAACAGTGAGGAGGCACCCTTCTTTTACTAAGCACATGAATCATATATAACGAAAGAATACATTTCATACTACATTTTATAATTAGCACGGGAAAAAAAAACAATAGGTGGACACAGAAGGACTGACTGCTAATTCTCACATAAAACTAGATTTGAGGCTAGGCTGAGTCAGGAAAAGTAGAAAATGCAGTGATAAGGAAAGAGAATTGGGCAGCAATGAGAGAATCAACAGTCTTGTTTCCCTTTATTATTATTATTCTAGTCACTGGGAATCACCAAGAGTCTGCTTAGCAGTTTGTCTCACAACAACAGTTGTATTTCAAAGCAGAATAAAAGTAATCTCAGAACGGAAAATAAAGGTTGGAAAGATGATCTCCTTAAGAAAGGGAAGATGTGGGGTTTAACTCTGTTAATTCAAAATCTGACAGTCTTTTTCCAAAAATAAAGCATAGAAAGCAACAAAGAATGGATACATGAAAGGGAAGAGAGATATGGACTACTTGCCCTTAGTTGTGTGAACCTCATGCCTATGTAAAATTCTTTCATGGTAACCAAAAGAATTGACATTAAAAGTCTAGGGAGAAACGTTCCCAGAAAACTGAGGTACTGCATGACAGGAGAGAGCTCACATAACCCTAGTCTGGGTGGTTTCAGGCATGGCATAAATAACTAGGCCAACAAACTGCACTAGACATAGAAATTAGTTGAATAAACTCATCCACTCCGATTTCATTTCATATGTCTCATGAGAAACTAGAGGACGAAAAAACTTCCAAAATTAACAAAGCAAAGTTTACCCTAGCCATCAGTGCCAATGAACATAAATGACTGCCTGAGAGTTATATTAACAAAACAATTGATCAGATGAATTAAACTAGCTATGGGAAATATACACTCTATACTTAGGTGCACATTTATTTTATTTTATCTTATTTTATTTGGAGACAGGGTCTTGTTCTGTCATCCCGGCTGCAGTCCAGTGGCGCAATCATGGCTTATTGCATCCTCAACCTCCTGGGCTCAAGCAATCCTCCTGCTTCAGCCTCCCGAGTAGCTAAGACTACAGATGTGTGATACCACGCCCAGCTAATGTAGAGAAAGGGTTTTTCCACGTTGCCCAGGCTGGTCTCGATCTCCTGGACTTAGGTGATCTGCCCGCCTTGGCCTCCCAAAGTATCTGGATTACAGTTATAAGCCATCAAGCGCGGCCTTAGGTGCACATTTTAAAAATATGGAATTTAGAATGGCCAGACAGAAATAATTTTACTTAAATTATTTCAACCTTTGTAAAACATACTATATGCTTCTGAATTTGTAACAGAAATCGTTCATTAAAAAATTATGAATTAATTGATTTTTTTGCTTCACTGTCACTTGGCAGACATAAACAAGACTGTAAAGATTATTTTAGTAACAGCTAAAAAATTAAGTATTAAAAGTCAGAATAAACACTTTTTTGGAGGACCAATGATGACAAAGAAAGGGCAATAAGAGGAGCTTTGCTTCAGGCTCAAATTTTGCATTATTTTGAAAGGTAATACAGTCCATCTTGGTTAAAGACTGGAAAAATGAATGAACACGTATAGAACAGGGAAAGCAGAAAAGTTTTTCAGTTTCTAATAAAAAAATCTAGACATACCAATATTCCAATAAATGGGTTTTAAAAACAATAGTGTACAACATAAAGCACAAATCCTTTTAAAATCATAATGTCCTCATTATCAGAGGACAGTATCACACATGGAAGTTCCAGACTAGTACAATTAGAAAGAGCTGACAACATTCACATATATAACCTGAAAAAATTATATAACTGTTTGCACTTATGCCTAGAAACAAACTATAGGCTAGCAGAATGTGAAACTAATTTCATTACTTTTTATTTTCACAGATGATAAATAAGGTATTTAACTTAGGAGTCTTTAAGAAACATTTTAATAAAATATACAGTTATGTCTGGTAGCAACAGAAAGGTAAGTTAAATAAGTTTGAAATGATAAGCAACCATGTAAGATTCTCTAAATCAAATTTCAATATTAGCAAAATATATAGTGAAGAAAGTATAGAGGATACTCTAATCAATAATTCATGACACTAAAGTACACTGAAAAAACATTCATGATGTTCCACTTTTTCAAAATGTGGAAATTACCAGAAAAATATTTTATATTAAAATATACAAAGTTGGTACCAATCTATGAGGCTTCTTAACCAGACTCCTTAAGACAAGTAGTTAAAAGACACTGAGAGCTTATACATGAAGAAGCACAAACTATTCATTAAAAATGTTCCATTTTATTGCTAATAAAAGAAATACAAATTAAAGCAAGGCATCAAATACTAGAATTTATATCCAATATTGAATCAAGCTATGGAGAATAGGTACATTCAAAAGCCTTGGGTCACACACATCTTTTGGCAATGATAAAAGAGCTATCTGATCACTTGCACCCTTTGGCCCAGTAATTCCACTCTGAAGATTTTATCTAAGGATATATCCCAAAGGGGAAAAAAGTATACCACATTGCTTTTATCAAAAACAATGGAAACAACTCAGATGTGCAATAAACGTAGAACAGTTAAATAAATTATGATATGTTACCCAAGGAGAATAACATAGCTATTGAAAACGAAGGAGTGCATTCTTATGACAAAGCAAGAATGCATATCAAAATCTTCTAAGGTTAAAAAAAAAATGGAACATGATATAAAATATTACTAACACATAAAATGTTATGTTTACATAATACAGATTGAGTATTTTGAAAATGGCTTTAAAAAACTTTACAGATTTTTTACTGTAATGCTAATAAAATTGGTTGGAAAAATAAAAGTGAAGACTAACAATTTTTGAAGTCACCAATATTTCTAGGAGAGTTTCTTAAGGTTTGGTATAAGAAATATTTCTATTTAAAAAAATGGTGTCAAGTTTCCCAGGAAAGTCATTTTTGGGAACTGTGAAGCAAATCAGCCTTTGCATAGTAATATCTATAATATTATGATAATATTTCCAGTGGGAACTCGTGCTTTCATAGCTGAAAAACTTTGTTTTGGTAAGCTGGAACAGAAAGCTGCAGACTATACTGAAATATGTTGGAATGAGCTTCTGATGATCAAATATTTCAGTAATAAAAATTTGGCTTTTAAATTCAACTCAAAGCACTCTACTATTTCAATCCTCAAACACTTTAATACTAATGATAAAAGACTAATGTGTTTGGCTACTATAAATTAATCATCTTTAAGGCATCAGCACATCTTACCTACTGTCCACAGAGATCTGTAATATCTATTCCCCCAAAATAATTTTTGTATATTCTTTTTGCTCTGCTCATTAGCTAAGCTGTTGCTTCAACTCTGGGCATTTTATTAAGTGACACTCAGGTAAAGTGGGGTTCTTACGATAAAAGTCACAAAGCAGGATTACAAGACATGTTCTCTAAAGTTCATTATTTTAGAACTGATATGAGAGTCAAGAATTTTAGCTTTTTAAATATTTCACCTAATTCTTCTATGAATAATGATGGAAAGCTTTCAAAATAAGTGACATAAAAGTGGGCATTATATAGTACATGTTCTCTACTAAAGCATTACTATCGTAATTTTTTTACCCCCAAAAGGGGGGAAAGCCCACAAAATTTGTAAGATATAACTAATACCATTTAAACAAATAATTCAGTAAAAAAAATCCTTATCATTGATGAACTGACACAAAGCATTTAAAATAATTTCCCAGTGGAAGTCACCATCCCTTAACTTCCATCAAAACATGCTGTATCTTCTACTGAAAAATATTTGTGGAAATAAAATTACAAAGCCCACACTAACCTGAGAGCTCTGTACACAGGGATGTCTCACTATAAGGCTGCCTCCTAAGCAGCATGAAGTCCGTGCCAGAAAGCCCCATTACTACACTAAAAAAGTACAGTTTATATGAGGTTAATTCTCTGAATTCTCTACCTTTCTATTAAGGCGAATAAAAGAAGACAGAAAGTACTAGTGAATAATGCATGCTGAATCTCTGAAATTATCTTAGTAAAGGCTAAAATATCATTCTTAAAAACAGATGGGCAAAATACTTAAGAAATAAATTATTCTAACTGCAGCGCAAGAAGAAAAAAAATACTAGACATTTTGGTTATGTGAACTTGCTTGCCTGTAACATACTTAGTCCATTTATAATAGTGTCTATTATTATAAATAACCTCATACATGGAATGTATGTAGGTAACACAACAGTGTGTTAAGAAATGAAACGCCTGTTTCCAATATGTTCTACTTAAATATTTGTAAATTTTCTTTACTAAAGTTGAGAGGTTTCTATTGCATTTTAAAATGCTAGATACCAATGTCAGATATAGCTGTGAAATATTCACTAGATTAGAATTTTCACTATTTTCTTTTATCCTTGAAATATTTATTGAGAACTTACTAAAAACAAGGTTTCTGTTTTCGACAAAGCAATTTCTGAGAGAGGCTACGTTTTCCTCCTTCTCTAACTAAAAGTGAATTTAACCTCTATTTTTGTGTTGTTTTAATTTAACACGGCACTACAGAACAAAGAGGAAATAATAGTTTTTAGAGACAGCTACTGTGGCAACTTTTGAAAGTGAAAAAAATAGTGAAAAAAAGTCATGTCATTTTCCCTACCTCTAAACAACAGGCAGATTAGATAATTTGGCAATCTTCCTAAGAAAACATTGCAGAAAAATGCTCTTCAGTTTCTGGAATATTTTAATTGTTAAAATTTAAATTTGGAGTATAAAAATTTACTTACTTCCAAGCTACCTCTCTTTATTGGATTCAGGACTAATAATTTCTTCAGAAGATTTTCACAGTCTGTGGACATGTAGAAGGGAATACGGTACTTCCCTCGTAAAACTCGCTCTCGCAGTTCCTTAATGAAAGTGAAAGAAAGCACTTGTAACTGGTTTTTGAAATAATCATACTTGGGGATAAAACATTAATATAAAATTTAGCTGATACCTTTAAATTCTGGCCATCGAAAGGCAAGGAGCCACTGACTAATGTATAGAGAATGACGCCCAGACTCCATACATCCACTTCAGGCCCGTCATACTTCTTTCCTTGGAAAAGCTCGGGAGCAGCATAGGGTGGGCTTCCACAAAATGTGTCCAATTTGTTCCCAACTGTAAATTCGTTACTAAAACCAAAGTCAGCAATTTTAATATTCATATCACCATCAAGGAGAAGGTTTTCAGCCTAAGAGGAAAATAATAAAAAGAACAATGTAAAAAGCCTACATAAAATAAAAATATTTGTTAAAAGTGTTTTAGCTTCCAAACTTACATCTCTTGTCTCATTTATAAATGTAGTATCAAATTTAGAAGCCCAGTATGGTACTTCAATGCATTCTGAATTACATCTATATAAGACTAAATTTTAACAATATAAAAGGAAAGCTCTCTTTATATGCATATATGCAACTACTTAAGAAAGGTTATTTAAAACCTATTTTCTTTCATAGGTTATTTTAAACTCATTTTTTTCCTCATAGTCAGAAACATCCTAGAAGTGTACCTTAGTATGACCTACTCTAAAGAGCATAATACTAATCCATCTTGGACTTAAACTAACATGATTACCCAAAGGAGCTCTATTTTAATAGGGTATTGTTGGTTAATGCTAGGCTCAAAGGTATATCTACAGTAACTGCCTGTCAGGGGTTCTGTGACTACTAATTCATTCCTTTGTCCTCTCTTGTAGAATGCTTCCTCAACATAGTACTGTTTCAGTAAAACATGACCAAAAAATACAGCCTCCATTATATCTTGTCTGTTTTAAGCTTCTTTTTGCTGTTTTAAAACTAGATTCTCTTCTTGACACATATTTTACATAGAAAGCAGTGAATTTTCCATGTTTTGAGGTGGTTTTCCAAAATCCTAAAGCAGAATCACTCAAAGACAATATTTTACATGTCCCTTTTATAAACAGAAGCAATTCAATAAAGGACTTGTTTTTGTACACATTTTATTTCAAACTCTATTACAATGGATGGATAGACTAACAAAGGTATAGGTTACTTTGTAGATGTGTTTTATCAGGTTTCAAAAAGAAATAAAATTTGACTAAAACAAAAATCAGATTTCTCTATATTACTAGAAGGTCCAACAATCGTAAGAGTCAAGCACTCTGCCCATCATATATCTCTTCCCTCCCTACCTGCCACAACCTTTCTTTTTTGTGGTATACTAGCTTGGGATATTTGTTTTCATTTTATTTTGGAAAATGCAGATACACCTAGAACCCAAAATATACAATAAAAATGGGGTATCATTTATTACATAAATACTATAAAAGCACATACATTTGGAAAAATTTATAATAGATTGTAACATTTTTGAACTGTGACAAAACCAGGTTATTTTGATGTTCTGATGTAAGGGCCTGGTCACTGTAAATTTCTGAAGCTGTTTTTGAGCAAGCTGGACTTTCTCTAAAAATGTCTGGATGGATATCAAAGTATCCAAGCTGCCTCAGAAGAGAAGAGCTGCACGGGGTTCTGAGGTCTCCTTCCAGGAGTGTATAGGAAAACTCTCTCTACTGGACTGGAGGGAAAACACAAGGTTTTGAACATTATTATTTTTTGCAGATTTTTTTCATATAAGAAATGAGATGATAAACTGGGAGTTAAACACAGAAGCAGGGGAACAGTTCTTTTCTTTCTCATTCATCATGGAAGTGATTCCCCTTAAAATAGCCAAGGAAGGAAACCAAGAAATAGAAAAATTGGGAGCAACAGAAAATTCATAAGCTCTGAAAAATGAAGCTAAAATACAGAATTAGACTTGACTTTTGACAACTGTTTAGGATAATATATTCAAACATAACCCAAACTGGTGCAAGTAGTTGATAAAGGTGACGAGGAGAAAAGTAAAAAAGAAAAATAAGACTCTTATGTACGGGACAATGAAAATTAAATTTGGAAGATTAGAGAAAAAAGGAAAAAAACATGTAAACATTTTAGCCCAGGGTCCTTCCACTTTCATTTTTTAAACAATCTATGTGGCACAACCATTTATTGACTAACTACACATTTCTTATTCCAAAGTATGCTCGTTTATACTATTATACGCATTTAGTGTTCATAAAAATGTTTTAAAACTTTCCTTAGTCCTTTGAGCTTTAAGGTAGAGTGTGAATACTATCTCTTACGTAAGGGAAACATGGGTTTGTGCTCTGACTTTGCTTCTGTCTGAGGTCCCACACTTTTGACTGGGAATAAAGTTCCCTATCTATGCATTTAAAGCAAACTAATTAATAGTGAATCAAATCCTCTAACCTCTAAAGCTAGATAACTTCTCACTCACATTTTCTTCATTTGCTCAGTGAAAATATTACCTTTCATAAAGCTGCTGTGAGAATCAAAAACTAACTACTTGTATAGTGTCTAGTAGCACAGTTAGGCAATAAGACAGCTCTAATATTATTATTAAACATATGTTAATAATAAAGATTTTTTTAAAATTACAATCAGAAGCTTACCTTAAGATCACGGTGAACAATGCACTTTTGATGACAATACTGTACAGCAGATACAATCTGGAATAAATATTTGGATAAAAGAGTCAAACTATTAAAAAAAAACTTCCCCAATAATCATCTCCAATTTAGATAAATTACTAACTTGGATTTCAAGGTAGTATTTAATAAATATGCTATGTCTTTAGTTCAGAAAACTATACACATTAAAGCGATGAAATTTTCACTGTTAAGTGCAGAAAATTTGGAAAAATAATATTCTCTTACTAAAATACAATAAAATATTTCTTTGTCAGAGGCTGTGAAGATGTCATATGGATCATTTATAGTTCTCTGTTTATGTGACTGAATGTGTACAATTTATAGTTTTGGTCAAATGGTTTACTATAGTGTTGAAATAAAAGCTTTGACACACATGAATTAGTATTTTAAGATAACTGTCTCAAGTTAAAAAAGCAAAACTCTATTCTAGGAATTACAACAAATGTGTTCAAGGCATGTTTCTTTAGTGAGGCCAATTCACTAAGAACTTATCGATAAGGTATTTAGCAATACCTATATTTATCTATTCATATACAAAGAGAAAGGAAAATTTTTGAGCCTTAAAAAGAAATGTGATCAGCAATAGAAAAGAGGGAAAAATGAAATTCAATCTTAAACCTGTCACTAATTCAGTCAGGTGAAGTATTCTATGCCTGTAACTTGATTTTGTATGCAGCCATAATTTTTAATCATCACACAGAGCTCTTTGGAGACAAGGACTAAACAAGGAGGAACCCAACAGTTTAAAGGCCAAAAGTATGACAGAAATAGATTATAAACAATTCTATGATAGTTCTTTATTACATAAAATACAGAAATAGAATCTCATAGCAATCAATTAAGAACTATTTTTTACATATAATTACATCTGATGAATAGAAGGATGGTCATTTTAATGTACATCAGAACATTCAATTCTGTGAATTCAGTTAAATATAAAAACAGTTCGAATGTTAGGCATTTGCAAATGGAGACAAAAATGAGATTTTTTTTTTCAAGTATAAAGGTGATGTGAAGTATGGCCATGCTAATAGGAATATAGGTGGGAAAGAAAACCTTCAAAGTAGAAGTGAACTGATATTTCAGTATTATAAAATTATTCTAATGTATATTAAAATGGTTTGAAGAGAGAGAAAACATGAATTCAAAACAAAATAATCAACACACAATGAGTAATATACAATTCCATTTAATTCATTTTGACTCAACAGTTTATTGAGTACCTGCTATGTGCAAGGAAATGTGCTGGTTGCTAGGCAAATACAAAAATGAATACTAATTGGACTCTGTCCTTAAGGTGCTTACAATCTGATTAAGAGGAGAAAATAAGGTATATATTCTCTATATACCTTGTATTATGGAGGTATATATTATTATATATAGAGGTATATATTATTACCTTTCTATATATTGTATATAGAAAGGTATATATTATTCCCCTATAATACAAGGTAGAATCATAGAACTCTACCTTTTTAAAAGAGTATCATAAAAAATAAAGAATAATTTCAGTTGGAAATGCTTCCTGAAGGAGGTGATATTTGCTCTAAGCCATCCTTGAAGGACAGAAATATTTAAAATGTGGAGATCTGGAGATGGGGAGGTGGTGAAATGCATTAATGACAGGGGAACTGTTTATTTGAAAAGCAGGTAGGATTCATGCCTGTAATCTCAGCACTTTGGGAGGCTGAAGTGGGAGGATGATCGCTTGAGGCCAGGAGTTCAAGACCAGGCCTTGACAACACAGTGAGACCTCATCTCTACAAAAAATAAAAATATTAGCTAGGTGTGGTGGTGTGCACCTGTGGTCCCAGCTACACAGGTGGCTGAGGCAGGAGGATTTCTTGAGCCTAGGAGGTTGAGGCTGCAGTATGCCATGCTCACACCACTGCACACCTGCCTGGATAACAGAGTGAGACCCTGTCTCAAACACAACAAACAAACAAACAAAAAGACCAACCAACCAACCAACCAATCAAACAAACAAACAAAAAACTCCAGAAAACCAAACCAAACAAAAAATCATTTAAAGAAAAGGAGGTGGAAAAATGGTGACAGTGGGAGTCAAACCTTGACAAATAGGTTGGTAAAAGTCAAAACTAGGCAGGTACTGCAGAACCACTAGATGTTCTTAGGCAGGGTGACTGGGAATGATTATAATCAATTTGAAGTATGATTCCCAAAAACACAGAAGGATCTAATGATGAACATTTATAGTATTAGTTTTCTTAAGCAATATGCTTCAAAATTCTAATACCCAATTTTCACTAAATTATGTTCATTAGCCAAAAGACATACACATTTATATGTATATTTTATTAGACATACTATATAGGTTATAGTATGTTCATATTATAAGATTATTTTGTATCACGGGTGACAGAAATTTGCTGATAATGACATTATCTTTTATTAGTCACGTTTGTATGATCCACTGAAGGTATGCGACAGATAATAATTTGGTTATCAAACATGATCAGAGGCCATGCAACTCATGTCAGACAGAATGGTCTCTATGAAAACAGTTCTATATTTACTTCTGGAATCAAACATTTCCTAACCTCAAAGCATCAAGAATGGAAAGATAATTACAAAGAATCCTCTGCATTAAGCATGTGTTCTCCCCAAACTCTATGAAGTCTGAGCTATCAGTCAAATGTGGTGGTTTATTATAGTGTTAACACAATTGCTTAGCAGGGAACAATTTCTGCCATGAAAGAAGTTCTGCCTTCTGACTCACTGCAAGAATCCCCCTCTACAAGCCCAATTTTTACTGCATTATTTTACAGCTAGACCTTCCAATCTCAAAACATTCTGTACTTCCATAAAGAGGATATAGGAACTTCCCTATGAGCCTTCTATTAACGGATCTTGAAAACATGATTTATAGGCAGCTGGGAACTGACGGTAAGACCACACACGTCAGTGTTTTCCATTGAGGTGGAGTTATCAGGGTTACTTTGCAATTATTAATACTTATAAGTGGGTCAGGAATCCCCACGCTTGAAGTGGTAGACTTGATATTACAAGAATTGAATCAATATTATGATTTTTTTTTTTTTTGTAGGCTCAAGTCTTAAGGAATTTTGTAAAAGCATTGTATGGGTAATGGCTGCTAAGTGGTCTTAAACTGTCCTAGTGTCTTCAGTATTTCTAAGAGTAAGGTCAAGGACGTATATACATTTATCCTTGTTGACACAGTATTAACACATACATTCTTTCACTGTTAAAATAAAAAAGAAAATAAAAGTAAATGTATATTCATTAAGTCCATAAGAGTTTCAAAAATCCATAAATAAAAATAAGCTACTCAAAAATAAATTTAAGTGTAAATTTACCTTTAGTCAGGTAACCACAAAATAATGTACGTGTGTGCATATGTGTATGTATGTTTACATATCTCTGGTTTCTAAAAATGAGACTTAGTAACTTTTTTAGTTTTGGGAAAACATATATAGATACTAAATACATTTAAAATTTACAGTAAATAAATAAATTATAAATAAAATATTTCCCATTGTTTTACAATTTAAATAGCATTCATCGGGCACTCAGTCTCTGCAATGTAAAGAGTATGAAGATGATTTCAAAATATTACAGATTTTATTTCAAAAACCATGCCAATGTTAGTAATTATTTGTATCTGTAAAAATATCTATGTCCCAACCTCCTATCCTGCTCTCGCTTACCAGCAAAGTTGGAAAGCTCTTTAAAATAGCAGGCATTTCCAACTTCTCTAATTCCATATAGTACCCCATACAATTTTCTACATCTACCAAAAAATAAGTAAAACTAGCTGCCTAAAAAAGTAAGAGTAAGTAGCAATAATCTCTAAAATATACATTAGGATTCCAATGGGAATATTTAATGCAAACTGGAACTTTCTTGCTGGTCTGCTACTAACAAAAGCTACTGTGACTGATATTAAATGAATAATATATAAAATGATGTGTGTGGCTGTGTGCAGTGGCTCACGCCTGTAATCCCAGCACTATGGGAGGCTGAGGTGGACAGATCACCTGAGGTCAGGAGTTCAAGACCAACCTGGCCAACATGGTGAAACCCCTTCTCTACTAAAAATACAAAAATTAGCTGGGAGTGGTGTTCTGTGCCTGTAATCCCAGCTACTTGGGAGGCTGAGGTAGGAGAATCACTTGAACCCAGGAGGCGGAGGTTGAATCACTTGAACGGAGGTTGCAGTGAGACAAGATAGCACCACTGCACTCCAGCCTGGGTGACAGAGCAAGACTCCGTCTCAAAAAATTAAATAAATAAATAAATAAATAAATACATGTCAAGACAGCTGAATAGGAACAGTTCCGGTCTGCAGCTCCCAGCGTGATCGATGCAGAAGACGGGTGATTTCTGCATTTCCAACGGAGGTACCTGGTTCATCTCACTGGGACTGGTTGGACAGTAGGTACAGCCCACAGAAGGCGAGCTGAAGCAGGGCAGGGAGTCACCTCACCTGGGAAGCACAAGGGGTCGGAGTATTTCCCTTTTCTAACCAAGGGAAGCCATGACAGACTACCTGAAAAAACGGGACACTCCCCGCCCAAATACTGCGCTTTTCCAAGGTCTTAGCAACCAGCAGACAAGGTGATTCTTTCCCATGCCTGGCATGGCACGTCCTACGCCCATGGAGTCTTGCTCACTGCTAGTGCAGCAGTCTGAGATCCATCTGTGAGGCAGCAGCCTGGCTGGGGGAGGGGCGTTCGCCAATACTGAGGCTTGAGTAGGTAAAAAAAGCAGCCAGGAAGCTTGAACTGGGCGGAGCCAACCGCAGCTCAACAAGGCCTACTGCCTCTAGACTCCACCTCTGTGGGCAGGGCATAGCTGAACAAAAGGTAGCAGGCAACTTCCGCAGGCTTAAGCATCCCCGTCTGACAGCTCTGAAGAGAGCAGTGGTTCTCCTACCACAGCGTCTGAGCTCTGAGAAAGGACAGACTGCCTCCTCAAGTGGGTCCCTGACCCCCGTGTAGCCTAACTGGGAGACACCTCCCAGTAGGGGCTGACAG